GTAAAAGGAAATCCTCTCATTACAAACTGACAAAGGGAAAAAAAAACAAACTGACAAAGGTAAAAGGTAAAACATTTTCACAACAGCATGAACCACATACTCAGAAATAGATCTGGGCTTAATACAAATGACATAATTCCTAGTCATCTACAGCTACTTTTATAACTTCATACAGATAATGAATTAGGCTAAAATGCACTATAATATTTGGTAGACTTCAGGACCAGTATCCTTAGTACATCACAAAATACATTTTGATATCCCAAAGAAGCAAGACTTGCAAGTAGGCTTTTTTTTTTTTTGTTTGTTTGTTTTTTTGAGACAGGGTTTCTCTGTGTAGCTTTGCGCCTTTCCTGGAGCTCACTTGGTAGCCCAGGCTGGCCTCGAACTCAGAGAGATCTGTCTGGCTCTGCCTCCTGAGTGCTGGGATTAAAGGCGTGCGCCACCACCGCCCAGCTGCAAGTAGGCATTTTAAACATAACTAATCTACAGCTACGAAGTTCTACTCTTTAGAGCATTTACCTTTTGGGGGAGTCTCCCAGTCTCCAAAGGATAAAGGCAGAGAGTAGAATCAGTATAAGATATACACAGAATTCCGTATTGTAAAGGCTATAAAGATCCGCAGCACAGTGGAAAGAGGCCTTCTGCTCCTTCACACTGCATACAAATTATGAGAATTATGTTGCGTATCTCTTGGTCCACTGTCTGGCTATCCTGTCATGTTCTGCTCTGTTGGTCAAATACTGAGTGGCTATGCTTCCAACCAGAGGATCCGCAGGGTTGCAGTCTGTCAAAAGGGAACAAATAGAGAGCAAAACTTTTGAAACAGTCAAAGCAGGACTCCAGTTGTCTTTTAGAATATCGAGGCAGATGACTTCCTGACTGTTGATGTTGCAGTGATAGATTCTGGTGCGGAAGGTAACCTTTGGTGGCTTAAATGGATAATCTGAAGAAAATGTGATATCCAGAAATAAAACACCACCTTCATATATAGAACCTGGCGGACCAAGTATAGTTGACCTCCATTCATAAATGTTATCTCCTTTAGGCCCAGCACTGCAGTTGGGAGGAGGATCAAGGGTGATTTCAGCTAGTTCCTTCTGAATTCTTTTAGCACTAGTGGATAGCTTAGCAGTCCTTTTGCTAGAAAGGTTGGTGTTTTTCTTCTGCTGGGTGGCAGAAGGTTTTCCTTCTTCCTGTTCCTCAGGCTCTGGAGCAGCAGGGTCTTGCTGGTCCGCATCTGAACTGCCACTGCTGGTACTGGGGCTCTCATCATCCGACCTTTGCCTATCACTGGACATCTTGGTGAAGCTATCTCTGGGAAAACTTCCTGTTAGTCGCCCATATGCTTATTTACGGTGGCGGGTCCTCCCGTGTGCACCGAAAGCCTTAGAACACAGCACTCAAATTAAAAAAGAAAGCAAGAAAGAAAATCAACTGGCAGCTGCTCCACAAGCCGTCCCCACGGCCAGTGGCGAGGATTCACCCGGGCAAGCTGGAGCTGCCATCCGGGGAAGGGCAGGATCCAAACAACACCTTCTGCAAAGCTCCCGGTGCCACCGACGTTCCCCGCTCGATTCCTCCCTCCCCACCGACATTTTGTCAGGAAAAAAAAAAGAAAGGAAAAAAAAATCCGCAAAGCGGCCAAAAGCCCGAGGGCAAAACAAACAAACAAACAAAAGCCCTCCCCCAACCCCCACCCCCAGAAGTGCAACAATTTGGTGCGGCCCTCCCCGGGGCAAGCACCAGGGCCACGCAGCTCCGCGGTCCTTTGTGGGGAGGGCTGTTAGTTATTTAGCTGCGTTGTGTTCTTACCCTGCAAGGAAGTGTCACGAAACACGACAGAATCCGCTTATAAGAGTTGATTAGAGATAAAGGGATAGAGAGTGCGCAGGCCTGTGGGAGAGACACGTGCGTGGAGAAGAGGAAGAGAGAGAGCCAGGAATATGGCGCTCTGCTTTAAAACCGGCTGGGGGCGTGGCCAGGTCACGTCAATACTCCACGCGTGTGCGTAGATCACATGGTCACGTTGCGCGCTTACGTGGCCATGTAACGTCACGGATCCTGGTTACACGATATGCCTTGACACAGAACTTGCTAGGCGGAGGTGTCCAGGTCCGCCAGGTATCCTGGTTACGAGAGACACCCTGACCCGGAAATGCCTATCTTGACTGGGATTGGCTAGGCGGAAGTGTCTGCCTGGTATGTGCGACCGTGGGGGCGTGTTGTGAACCCAGCCCCACCCCCAGAAGTGCAACAAATTGGCATGGCCCGCCCCAGGGCAAGCATCAGGGCCACGCAGCTCTGCGGTCCTTTGTGGGGAGGGCCACGCAGGGGACTGCGCCACTGCGCCCGCCCACCCGCCCTCTCGCTCGCCTGCCCGCCCACCGCCTGCCAGCCTGCGCTGCTGATGGAAGAGCGTGGCTGACTCACATTCTCTTTTTATAACTGGCTTAAGCATACTTAGTTAATGAGGAAGAAGCAATGAGTGAAACATGTGACATGTGAAAATGTGTCTGGGGGGCTGGAGATTGGCTCAGTGGTTAAGAGCACTGGCTGCTCTTCCAGAGGACACAGGTTCAATTCTCAGCACATGGCAGCTCACAACTATCTGTAACTCCAAGATCTGAAACTTTACATAGACATACATGCAGGCAAAAGCACCAATGCAAATAAATTAAAAATAAATAAATTAGAAAAAAAAAGAAAAAAAAAAGATGTGTCTAAGTCTGACAAGTATCACATGTTTTGATGGGTCCAAGTTGTCATTCTCAATGAAACCACTGAACTGAAAATTTTCTCATGATTTATTTGAATAGTTTAGACACACATGTGTGGTGTATATTCCCTCATCTTTTTTTCTTTGACCAATAATGCTTCTGAAGCTATTTTGTTTAATCATCTCTGTGTTATGTTGATGATGCTGGGTAAGTTTTCGAATGTGTGAGTTTTTCACATAAGTAGCACATACCTCCTCAACCCTCATACCAAAAGGTAAAAGTAGACTGCTAAATTAGGCATGTCACTGACATGTCATGAATGACAAAGACCTAGAGTCATTGTTTGTTGTGGAATAAAAGTCAGTGGGGTTTTCCATCTGCCAAGCAGCATCAAATACATTTTCAAAACTCATGCTTCCTAAATGTACCTGATTAAATCAACTGGTCTTCTTTGTATGCTATCTAAGCCAACATTATAGATTTGCTTCACCTGTTTTTGGCATAATCCACTGGGTAACACCCCTTCAGTACTTCTAATATATCCTTCAGGCTTTGTTCATGTCACTCATACTGTAATTAGATGAAGGTTCTATTACTTTCTATTGCCATGCCCAAGTCAATTCCTAGAAGGAAGGGTTTGTTTGGAGTGAGGCTTATGGTTCCAATGGGATGCATACAGTCCATCACCACCATAGTTCAGGCAGGCAGACATGGTGCTGGAGCAACAGTTGAGAGCTACACCTGACTCACACAAGAAACAGAAAGCTCACTGGAAATAGCACAAGTCTTCTGAAACCTACAGATGAACCAACAATGATACAAATCCTCTGAAAAGACCACACCTCCTAATCCTCCCCTAATTGGTGAGCCCATGGGGGCTGTTCTCACTCAAGCCTCCAGAGAGGTGCTGGGGCAGGCCGTCATAGCTATCCTCCATGTATAACAATAG